GCTATGAATACAAATAACAGATTAAAGCAGTGCTCGTCATGAAGTTGTTTACAAACTAACAACTCAATTATGTAAACACCTCACAAACGTGATATTTTTTTTGAATATTTATCTTGACTGGACTTGATCTCTGAGGAAGTGTTGCATCAATAGTCTTATGTAGGTGTTTGTGACCAGGTATTTCAATGATCTATGATAAATGTTTGTAACCAGGTATCTCCGTGGTCTATAGTGAGAGTTTGTAACCAGGGAGCTCAGTGGTCTATAGTAAATTTTGTGTAAAGGTATCTCAGTGAACTATATTTTTTGTGATCAGATATCTCAGTTGTCCATAGGTAGTGCGTCTGTTACTGTTCGTGACTAGGTACATGTAACTCAGTGAACTATTACCAGTGATTGTGGCCAGGTATCTCAGTGGTTTATAGTATAATTAGAGTGTGTGACCAGATATATCAATGACGTGAAAGTAGAGTTTGTGAGTGACCACGTATCTGAATGGATTATACACGTAGTTGAAAATTGACTAAAACGTTACATGTAATCAGTTAACCAATAGTCTTAGTTAATCAGTTAATCAAATAATCAACTGATTATTTCACACGTTTCGAAAAGTGAAACATATAAAAATTAGAATGTGACAGTTTGTTTTATTATTTATAAAGATTTACAACAACGAAAGTCAAATAAAACCTCTGACGGACATAGTAAACAGTATTTGTATAACCATTTCAATCAAGAGACGTTACGAAAACAGATTTTTACAAATTAGAATGTGACAGTTCGTTTGATTATTTATAAAGATTTACAAGAACAAAACTCTTTTCAAGTTACATTTGTTACAGGTATGAGTTAAATTAAAGTATTTTGTTAAGGAAATTGACAGATACAATAATAAGTTTGAAATGGGGTAGGGTTTCGGGGAGCCCAAACACTGTCATTCACAGACATCCTATGTATGTGCGTATCGATGTTATATTTTGTAAATACATCGAAGATCGGGAACTTGTAACAGACATGATCATCAGTAGAGATGTTTAATGTGTATAGTACATACAAAAACAATCTAAGATAATAGACATTTTTTATTACAGTCAACCACATTTAATGTACAATATATGACACTCATACGTTCCTAACTGAGGTAAACAAACTTGTATTTCGACATTTCGGCAAGCACATACAATAATAAATATAAAATAAACTCTACGATGTGCTACAAATATTTAAAAGGCTTGTATTTCATCATTCGACAAGACTTTTATCATGTTCAAATATTGTATTACAATTAAAATGCGTATTTCTAACTAAGATGTGTGCTTAAATTGTGCCGACGTTGTAAGGGAAGTAACTCTGCTTGTATTTCGTTTCGACAAGCATTTATTGTAAATTCAAATATACAATCTAAAACTGCTATGTACAACATTAAGTAATTGAAAAACTGCTATGTACAACATTAAGTAATTGAAAAACTGCTATGTACAACATTAAGTAATTGAAAAACTGCTATGTACAACATTAAGTAATTGAAAAACTGCTATGTACAACATTAAGTAATTGAAAAACTGCTATGTA